TGTTGTTGTTATGTGCCATCGAGTCAGCCCCGGACGACTAGAGTCAGCCCCGGACGACTAGAGTCAGCCCCGACTCATAGTCGTCCCGACTCGGGTTTCCAAGGCAGTATCACTACGGAAGTAGGATTGCCCAACCTTCTTCCGAGGAGTGGCTGGTGGGTTTGAACCGCCAGCTGTCTGGTTAGCAGGCAAGTGTCTTAGCCACTATGCTACCAGAGCTCCCCAAACCTGTGATAAGTTCCTTAAATAGGAGACCACAGCTTGGTGACCAGCCAACAATGAAAGCCAAACCCTTTAATTCTGGGGAAAATATATTATCGCCCTGTCTAAAGCATTTGACAATCACTTCCAAAGACCTGGAGAACTAGTTCTTGTAGCTAGCATACCCACTAGACTCAGTAGTAGGCTGGCCCACTAACCATTCTGCACCCCTGAGGAGGGGTCTGGGAGCCGCCGCTCTGCAAATCCATGCCGGGCTTTCTCTTTCACCCGGGTGACTTTTTTTTTTTTTTTTTTAATGTGCCAGGAATTCCTCTCCCACGTGGGGTGGACTCCGAGGTACTCAATTAAGCAGCCAATGAAAAGTCAGCTCTCCGGTAGCAAATGACCCTGACACTTCTTGTAACATAAACAGTTGAAACGTTTCCAATTAGAACTGGAGACAGAGACGTTTGAACTCTTTCTCTCCACTCCCTCCGCCCCTTCTTTAAAAATAATTGTCAAGCGCTTTGGACATGGTGTCGTATGTTTTTATTTTATTTTTTTAAATTTTCTTTTCTCTTTCTCAGGCATAAAAGAGATTAATTTTCTTCTGGATTTTCCTAATTTGTGGAGAGGCATGGGTGTGTGTGTGTGGTGGTGGGGGGAGAGTGGTGATGTTGGCCTGCTTAAAGGGATGCTGGCCTGGTTACTTAGCTCCGGCTCTCCCTTCTCTCTCAAGGATAAGGCAGCCCGGGAGAGCTGGTAGAGACGCTTGATACTGAGCGAGTGGGAGCCGGAGCCAGGAGAGCTGGGCTTGTGACCCCGGGGCTAGACCCTACCAAGGGACGATAATGAATCAATGGATGGTTGGATGGGAATGAATGAATGCCTTTCTTTCAGCAATTGGTCCCAGGAAACAAACTCGGTGGAGCAAAGGTGCCACTGAAGTTTGCTGCCAGCTGCCTTGGGTTAGAATCCCAACCTTTCTGCCCAGTTTGAGGGCAAATTAGGAGCTTAAGTAGCCTTTTCTTCTTCTTCTTTTTTTTTATTAACCGTATAAAATGGGGCCACCAGCCAGGCTGTTTCCCTCGTGAAAGAAGTGAGAATGAAGGGAGTTTGCCGAGTAGCAGTGAGGTTCCTTTTACCTACTAAGCGTTCTAGCGCTGTTAATTGTCATTCCTGGAAGCATAGCGTGGCGTTCTAGCCTGGCCCTGCCGAAGAGGCGGTGCTCTGTAAAACCACGTCCATTACACGCAGCCATTCATTTGTCACAGTCCTCGGGCTTTTCCTGGGTGCCTGGCTCAGTGCTAGCGCTGGGGTTCACTGGTGAACTAGACTTGGATCTGCTCAGCAGGAGCGCCGGGGCTTGTGGGGGAGAAGGGAAGCGTCCCCAGGAGCGCGGACGTCGGGGCAGGAGAGACACAGGAGAGAAAGCTGCTGTACTTTTCTTCTCACAGTACACGTAGACCCGGCCCGGGGGCCCGCGGGCTTCCCGGCTGCCTGCTGGCCGGCGCCTTCTGAACCCGTACGGTACTGAGGGAGACCGAGAGAGGGAGGCCCAACGAGGCGCCGCGTCCTGGGCATCTTGAAGGGATTGTGTTCAATAAATCCAGGCGAGAGGCACACCCGCTCTCTACCCCCTTTCCTCTCCACTTCCAAATCGAGACCTGCTGTGGGACCCCCAGTTTACAGGGTCTTAAAACCCCCTCCACTTTGATTAGCAGCTTCAAAGAGCTCCCTTTAAAGTTCAGCCCCCTTCCACTCCCCTTTTGCAGACAACCCCTCCCCCATCATTCCTTCTAGACTTCAGGACTACAACAAAACAGTAAACGCAAGTTTAAAGGAGGGGGGAGAATATCTTCAGGCTTCCTCCTGAACGCGGGCCATAGAAATTACCTGTTTCAGGCGTACACAAGAGTCGGAGAACCGTGGAGTTTGGGTTTTCTTTTTCTTTTTTACTTCTTCCTTTTTTCTGTCTTGTGTGTGTGTGTATGTGTGTGGGGGGTGTGTTTTTACCTTTTATTATTTAAATTGATACGTTTCATTACTAGGGAGAAAAATAAAATATTCCTTTGATACACAAAATCAAATTGATATTTAGCCTCTGCTTACTTTTTTATGCATGGCTCCTTTATACCACATGGTAGTGACAGATTGTTTGAGCTGGAAGGAAAAGCCATTCAAAGCTAATTAAGCAGCCATTCCAAGCACTATTTGCAAGCGGGAGGCTCAGAAGCCTCGGCATTTGTCAGCGCTCCCCCACCCCGCGTGGTTTTGACTGACAGCTCTGGCCACGGACTGACAGCCCTCGGCAGCTTCACCAATCGATGGCGGAAAGCTCCCTAGGCGGTGTATGATTGGTCTTTCGCGCTTGCTCTGGGGCGGGGTCGGCTTCTCCCACGTGGGGCCAGGAGCCAGAAAGGGGCGGGGCGGGGAGGAAGCGGGTGCGCCCACCCGTGACGTAAAGGGGAGGGCAGAAAAGGGGGAGGGGAAAAGAAAGCTCCAAAGAGGAGCCATTTTGTGTCTAATGAATGCTGCGGCCAGATGCTCGCGTCTGTCGAGCGGGGCTTCTCCCCAACCCCCTCTTCAGTGCACGCAGCACACGATTTATGTTTTTATTTAGGAGAATAAATAAGTGAATAGAGGAGTGCGGTTCGAGGCTGGCGGCTGGAATGGGAGCCGGGAGGTTCAACTCTGAGGCGGGCGCTCACGTGTAACTCCTTGCATACCGGCCTCGGAGGGTGCAGCTCCTCATTAACATGCAAAAGCGAAGCTGGGGCTCCTTGTTGTTACAAGGCGCCTACTCCCATTGAGTAGGCTCCAACTCATAGCGACCCTGTGTACAACAGAGGGAAATATGCCTGGTCCTGAGCCATCCTCACAATCGTTACTATACTTGAGCCCATTGTTGCAGCCACTGTGCCATTCACCCGGTTGAGGTCTTCCTCTTTCGCTGACCCTCTAGTTGACCGAGCAAGTCTTTTTCCAAGGACTGGTCCCTGCTGATAGCATGTCCAAAGTACTGAGACTTCCTTCCTTCTAAGGAGCATTCTGGCTGTACTTCTTCCAAGACAGATTTGTTCCTTTTCTGGCAGTTCATGGTGTATATTCAATAGTCTTCGCCAACACCATAATTTGAATGCATCAGTTCTGAAGTCTTCATTGTGTAGCTTTCCATGCACACGAGGCGATTGAAAATATCAGGTGTATTTAGGTCCTCAAGGTGACATCTTTGCTTTTGTAACATTTTTAAGAGGTCTATCGCAGCAGACCTGCCCAATGCAAGACCAGATCTTAATGAAGGGAAAATATAGGTTGGGAGGGGGCACCTGGCCAGCTTGCAGGAGACGGTGCTGCCTCCCAGGTGTGGGTCCCCTGGCCCGCCCTGACAGCGCCTGCCGCCTGCCCCAGAGTTCTGGCGGATTCCCGGAGCTGCTGAGGGGCAGGGAGGGCCCAAAGAGCCCACCTGGCTTTGCCCACCTCGGGTGCCGGCGGGGGTGTGGAGTCCTGGCACTCCTGCCTAGGGGCCACTCTGAAGGCCGCTTGCCCCTCATTAGTCCGACCTGACATAATCCCGAGCACAGGAGATAAAAGCTATCGGTTTTCAAGCACACTGGCCGGCCGGGGGATGAATGGTCTGGGATTTGAGTAGTAGGGACTCCCGGAGAGCAACTGGCGAATAGGCGTCTGCGTCTCCCAGGGGCGTCGAGGCTGGCGACGGGGACTGCCACAGACTCATACACACGCTCCTCCGCAAGCTTCTGTCAACGCTGGGACACAGAGTCGAGCAGGCCAAGTACACTGGGTCCGAATTCTGAGCTCCTGGGTAAGGACAGTGCAGGTCCCCGACCCCAGACCCTATCCTCAATTCCGCTGCCGTGGCTCGGGTGTGCGCAGTTGAGGGATCCTCCGGGCAAAGCTACAGCGAGAGTACAATTGCCCCTGTGGGGAGAAGAGCCCCGAGTTGAGACAACCACTAGCTGAGCAGGTTGTCGGAGGGCAGCCGGGCCTTTCCATCTGCGCTGCCCGCCAAGCAAGAGTTCCTCAGACTTCTGGCAGGCAGCCGCTGCACATCAAAGACGCTGTTTATTTGGCTTTCTGAAAAGCAAGGCGGAGGAACAGAAAAGAAGGAAAGCTGGGGGCGGAGGGGGGGTGTACAGGGAGCAGTGAGAGAGAAGGGGTAAAGTGAGGGGCACCCCCAATTCAGAGCAAATTTTTAAGGGGGGAGGCAACTTTGGGAGCCACCATTTTATGGGTCCTAAATCTTGTGAAGTGAAAACATTAAAAGCGACAAAGTGATTCTGCTTTTTTTATTGTATCTAATTGGGCTGCTTTGCAGACCTAAAGAGATTAGAGGGAGGAATCGTTCGCCGCCACTGCAGAATAAACTGGTACATTACTAACAGCCACAGGTTCTTAGGATTGTACAGCTTGTCTTTTTTCCTTTTGTTGTTATTTCTATTTTTTTTCCCTCCCGCCAAATAATTATTTGCTAGTAGATCGTGGGGGGGGAGGGAAAAAAAAAAACTCCAGCAGCCCAGGACTATAATATATATTTATTATATGTCTTTCGGTTAATTCCTGATCTGAGGAGCGCTGTTTTTCACTCCCATGCGAAAGTCACCAGCGGATAGGGCCTGATTGCTACTTTTCATGCATAGTTTTAGACACAAGAGGGCATTGTGACGTCGCGCCCAACTGCGCCCAGTCGCGGGCCGAGTCCGGCACCCCCACGTGGGGGCCCCGCGCTCCTATTGGCCAGCGCCGGGTGAAGCTGCCACATTATTTTGTTACTTTTCAGTCCCTATTTGGAACTGCTCTCGCGGCAGTTCAGACCTCGTGCTCGTCCCCCTTGCCTGTGTGTGGTATCCGCAAGGTCCGGGCACTTTTTTTTTTTTTTTGGTGTGTGTGTGTTGGGGTGTGTGTTTTGGGGTTTATCGGGGCGCGGAGAGTAGAGCTGGGCCGAGGGGAAAGAAGGAAGCCGCAGAGCTCATCGGTCTCAGGCTGCGTCTCCCCTCCAGCGCTCTCCTGTCTGCGCGCACCCAGGCGGCGGCAGAGCCGAGCGCTCCTCGCTGGGGACCCGGCGCTCCAGCTGGGAGCAGCGAGAACCTCTTTGCGGAGGCTTCCCTTGTACACTGGAGTCCTAGGATGCCAGAACGATTGATATTCACCTACTGACCGCGGAGTTTTCTCCCCGGCACTGGGAAGAGCAGGCGGCGGCGGCGGCGGCGGCGGCGGCGGCGGCGGCGGCTGCAGTAGCAGACGGAACAGCAGGCTCTCCTCTCCGAGGGGGGGCGTCGAAGTGCCCGCGCCGGGCTCCCGCCCTCACCCTCCGGCGCACTCGCGGCCCCAAGCCGCCACCTCGGTGCCTGTCTCCTTCCTCTTCCTCCGTGCTGCGAGCCCGAAGCCGCATCGCTTCTGGAATCGGACTCGCGCGCCCCGGTTGCTGGGGCTGCCTTGGCGCGCCCCACTCCCGGCGCGACGGGCTGAGTGATCCGGAGGGCGCCTTCACTCGCCCCAGGACGGGCCCTAGCCTCGGGACCCCGCGCTGGACCAGCCGGGTAGACGACGATGTCCGCGCAGTCCCCGGCTCTGACGCGCTCGACGCAGCCAGAGGAAGGCGGCCGGCTGCAGCTCGCTGAACCCTAGACGCACAAAGCCTGTTCCTGCCTGCCCGCCCGCCTGGCCTCGGCGTCCGCCGACGACTTTGCTGCCTGCTCCACCGCTCTTTGTTTCCACTTGGGGCGGGCGCCCGACTCTGGGATTTCGCTGCGAGAGCGGGCTGGGGGGGCCGGGGGCGAGCTCCCGCTTTCCCGGCCGCCCCCCGCTCGGGCTTGGCTCCCCCCTCCCCCGCACCTCCCCAGCCGGGTCTCTCGGCGCTTCCACGTTCTCGGAATCACGACCCCTCCCTGCCATGTATCCGCAAGGCAGACATCCGGTGAGTAATTGTAACTCGGTTTATTTAAGCATCTATCATGGCAGGGTAAACGAGGCAGTTTATCTGGCACCTCCATTTTCCTTGTTGTTACCTTTATGGTGTCTGTGCTCACACAAAGGGGATGGGGATGGAGGGCGCTTTTGAGAGGAGAGGTTAATTCCGCCTTAGTGGCTTGGGGGGCTGTCGGTGATAGAAGGGGAACTGTTTCCAAGCTACCCCCTCCCAAGTCTCCCAACTTACCCGGCGTGTCTCCCCGCCCCCACCTGTCTTGGGCAGGGGAGCTCCTTAGTGAAAGGGACCAGAGCCCCGCGGCTGAGAGGGAAGGACTGGGCACCCCACCCGGTCCGGAGCTGAGAAACTTGCTGGGAAGGTTCAGGGCTGGTGGGGCGCTGGCGTGGGGAGACCAAGGGAAGCTGCGGAGGGGTCTGAGCAGCTTGGAGCCCCGTCTGATGCCCCTGCCCTCCTCCCCTATCTTGTTCTCCCGGGCTCCAGGCTCCCCATCAACCCGGGCAGCCAGGATTTAAATTCACGGTGGCTGAGTCTTGTGACAGGATCAAAGACGAATTCCAGTTCCTGCAAGCTCAATATCACAGGTAAGGCAGGTGGGGGCCGCTCCGGGACTGGTGGGGCGGGGGCGTCCCCGCCGAGGCTTCTGCCACCCCACCTTCCGACACGGAGGGGGCGCCTGACTGTTGGGTGGCAGGGCCGCCCGGGCCTCCGCCTTTTGTTTCCCCTTTCCGAGCGCGGCGCCTTAACCCTTTGCCGCCCGTAGCCTCCCCGCTTCCAGTGCTGCCCGCGGGGACCCCAGAGGTTGAGGGTTGGAGTCTCCAGATGACTAGCTCCGGAGTCTAGGGGTCGCGAGGCGGCGTCAGGGTTCCGCCCCCCAGTGCCCTGATAAGTTTACTCTTTTGGCCGCGGGAAGTTTCAAGTTGTTTCGCTGCCCCCTTTCCCACCGGCGGGGACTTTAATCATCCTCCGCTCGGTGACCGCGCAATAATGGGGTACCCTCGGGGATGTCTGAGAAGTGGAAAAGTGGCTCTCAGAGGCCTTTAGGTTAGGACTAAGGATGAGGCTGTGCAGGCAGCAGGCCTGAGCCGGCTCCTTCTGCCCTCGCAGCCTTAAAGTGGAGTACGACAAGCTGGCGAACGAGAAGACGGAGATGCAGCGCCATTATGTGATGGTGAGAGAAGGCCGAGGGCCTGGGAGGGTGCCCACCTGGCCGGCGGCTGCGGGCGGGAGGGCCTGGAAAGACTGGAGCAGGGCCCCCACCACAGCCAATGCCTGGGATCACCCTGTGTAACCTGTGTGCCCTCTGCCCTTGCTCTAGCTTTCCTTACAGCCCGGGCCTCTTGGAGGAGGGTGGGTGGGAGCAGGAGCCGGCAGGGGGCCAAAAGCGAAACATAAATTCCAGGCCAGGCACTTCTGCGCTACCTTTGTGCTGCTTTAATTTGTGTTTTGAAGGCTTCCCAGAGGACTGGTTGCTGTATCTTGGCTAGTTAGATACGATTGGGTCAGCCCATCTCAAGGTTTGAATAAAAATCTGTCAGACCGCCTAGCGATGTCTGGAAACTTTTCTGCTTTACAGCTCTGAGGTCTAGCTGGAGTCCTACAGAAGCCCTCTCTGCCTACCTCTTTTCTTCTCTAGAGGTTTCCTGAGGAGTAGAGGTGACTTTTAAAGCCTCCATTCCCCTTCTCAAGGGATCCTCTGATAGAAAGTGTTTTCAGCCCTGGGGCAGTGGGTAGATTGTCTTCCCTTTTCCCAGCTTCTGTTCCAGCAAATTTAAATCTTCTGTTTGTAAGAGGGCATGGAAGGCACTTAAGTGCCACTCCCTCTACTGCTTTCCACATAAGAGGCCTTCGACACAGCGCTAAATAACTCTCAGTGGACAAGAGGGTCCCAGAGTACACACTATTCCCTGTTGAACCCAGACCTTGTATAAACAGGATGTATGGCACATGCATTGCTTGTTGGGCTTGAGTTCTTCTTACTACAGTGTATATGGTATTCTGCCTCTGTCTCTCCCTCATTTGACAGAGACACTCATTATTAGTTCTTAAATTCGTCTATAGGCCTGCTTTGGGTTTGAACATCTTTTGCACATGTGTCATGAAACCATGATTTGGCCAAAATCTTCTCCAGAAAAAATGGAATTTGAAAAGTAAACAGATGACTGAGTTGTGAGTTGATGGTAATTCTTTTTACTTGTAGTACTATGAGATGTCCTATGGCTTGAACATTGAAATGCACAAGCAGGTAAGCTCTTTTCTCTTTACGACATTTATTTAATTTTAAAAAAAGAAGTTATACATGTGTAGAATTTTTATATGTCCCTTCCTGTTTGAAAATCCAGCCTAGTTCTGTCTGCTCATTGCCACTCCCCTCCCCACTTCTCTTAGAAGAGTGAATGGATCCAGTCCTTGAAATTTGAGGTCTGCAGCTTTGCTTATTTCGGGGATGTATTGAGCTTTCAGCACTGGAGCTTGTGAACTTAGTCCTGGTCTTGGATCTTGGTGGAGGATAAAGGACCAAAGGGAAAGTTATGTCTTCAGGATCAGCTTTACACACTCCTGAAGGCCTAGAGGTGGCTGGCAGCTTTTATCTATCTTAATGTAAAATTCTCAAGAGGAAATGCAGGAGGGTTTTTTTTTTTTTTTCTTAATTCGATGTTCTGCCTTGATAAGATTAAACTTCAGGAGCCTGTTAAAAGCCTGGCCAAGCTGTCGAAATTTAAAGGAGCAAAGCCACTAACTGCTTAAAAACACAAAGGCAGCATGAAATACAACTCAAATGCCTTACGTTTATGAGGTAGCTTTCTCATCTCTATCTTAATTGGAAGGCAGCTTGCAATCCCATTTTACAGAGAAGGAAGCTGAAGTTTGAGAGGTGAAGTAACTTAACTTGCCCAGGGGCAGCCTGGCCAGGACTTTGGAGGAGGCTGGGAGTTGAGCTCAGCTTTGAAATCCTGAAGTCAAACCAGTTTTGCTGGTCGTGGTGTCCTTTGATGGATATGTAAACCACTTCGTATTGTCACTATTCTAATAACAGTATACCTCAAACTGTGCAAATACAAATACTCTTTATCTCGGTGCATATCAGTAACTGGTCCATGCAGGGCTGGGCAGTGGGAGAGGCCTGTTTGTGTATTTGTGTTTGGAGGAGAGGCTGCCTATAATTTGCCTTGGCTGGCCATTGGTGTTGACTTGGCAAGTATAAATGGTGCAGGCCGGTTGTTCTTTTTAACAATTGGTGTTCTTGAAATCTCAGAAGGCTGTTGACTCATTCTAGCCTTTGCTGACCGTGACTTGAATGGATTTTCTGCTCTAAATTAACAGTCGTTCAACAAGGTTTAAATTTTATTTTTTTAAGGGGGCAGGGCCCAGGGCAGGTGAGAAGGGCAGGTGACCCTTGGAGCCCTTGGCAGATTCCTGTCCGCTGGAATGGCTTCCTGTAGAGCCTTTTGAATCTGTAGTTTCCTTTTCCCTCCTGGGGGGAGTCCTAGTGTTGGGTGAAGGGCAGCCAGAAAGAGGCCTGAATTTATTGACAGTGTACTAATCCAGTTTGTGGTTTACTGGGGGATTATGCTGTAAGGTGGCACATGAAGGTGAACCCAATTTTATTTCTTACCCCAGACATAATAAACAGACATGGCTTGGTACATAAAAATGTTTTTTCTCCAGGAAATGGACTAGAGAAACAGGTTCTGCCCAACTGTAGGCAGAACTGACTGGGTCTGCATGAAGTAAATCTAGGGTCCCAGGTGTTCAAGAACCTTGAGGTGTTGTTATACAAGGTCTCACCACCACTCTTCCTCCACTCCCTCTTTTTTGTTTTTCCTTTGAGAGTGCCTAGCATCTTGGGTGTGTTTAAAGAGGGTAATTGCACCCAGGTTTAAAATTTATAGCAGCAGTTATCCTAAGAGCTTCGTAATTAAGTTGTAACATGTTGTTGCATGTTGAGGACCTCATGGGTGGTGTTCCCCAGGTCTGTGAGTGGATGGTTACTTGGCAATAGGAATCCACTTGGCTGGTAGAGCAAAGCTGTTCTCTGAGTCCTAGGGACACTCTGAGCCTAGGAAGAGTTAAACATCTTAATGCATTTGGTGGTGGGGTTTGTATAAGAGCAGCTGGGAGCATCTGGGACTTCTGGCCATTCCCCAAACTGGGCTCTTAGGGGGAGAATGCCTGAGGTTTGGCTGCATTGTCTCATTTAATCCTCTCAGCTGCCAATGGTGAACAGAGGCATTCTCTGCTCCCTTATGGCTGAGGAAACTGAGGCTTGGGGTGAAGGGTGAGGGGTGAACTCGGAACTGGAGCTTGAATCTGGGCCTCTGGGTTCCCAGACTTGGTTGTCTTTCTCTTGTCTGCCACTCATTTTTGCCTTCTAGCCTCTGAGTTGTTCTCATTTGCTTCCCAGAGAGGGTGTGTGTGTGTGTGTGTGGTGTGTGCCCACGCTCTGACCACCGAGGTGCCTTTGCTGGGTTAATGGCAATCTCAGAGTTGGGTGAAATTGCCCTGTAGCTATGTAGGAACAAAGAGGCAAGGAGGTGAAGAAACCAGGCCCTGAGAAATGCAACCCTGACCTAATGGGGCTGGCCACTCCCCAGGCTTGTAAGGGTTCTGCAGAAGAAACCCTGCCACTAATTGTAGTGTTGGTCTTGGGTGCATTTGGCGGATGGTGGTTAGGCCTGAGCAAACAAGTTTATCAGCTGACCTGTTTAGCGGTTGACTGGTGTTTTATCTGCACACACAATCAAGTGACTGGAGTGTTTGAATTATTCATGCAGTGTCCTGCCCTCTAGACTTGACTGTTCGTGTGATTACATCTGCCTGGAACAAACAGGCTGGATTCTTCATCTTTAAGCTCAGAGGTGGGGGTGGAGGACTGTCTGTACTTTTTTATATGCAGTAATAGATGATGTACAGAGCTAGCACCTTGGGCATCATGGTGGTCCTCAACCCATTCTTAAACACACACACACAGAGACACACACAGACACACATACACACAGACACCCTCCACCACCAAATATTTTTAAAAAGTTATTCTTTGCTGGCCGTATGGGAAATGCTGATTAGCTGGGAACGTTGGGTTCTGCCAGATGGGCCCAAGTATTGACAGAGGGCAGCTGATGAGGTGCGTTGAGCCCATTTTTATTTTACCAAGAGCTTAAACTCAATGTGGCTGGCTTCTTCCCTCACTGGCCCTCTGTCCCTCTCTCTTGTCTTCTTCTGAGCTGTCAAATCCCAGAGAAGTAATGAATGGTTTCTCCTCCTACTCTTCTGCCTCCCTCCCTAATTATGGTAAAGCAAAGATTATTAGAATCATGGGGCTGGCCCAGGACTTCAAGAGGTTACCTGCCTAAGCCCCTGCTTCCAGGCAGAATGTCACAGTGATTCAGGGAGACAGGTGTGACTGACCAGCTCACCAGTTCCCATCTTGCTCCCTCAGAGGCAAGTGTCAGTCAGGAGTAACAAAGCCAGCTTAGAAATAAGGACTTCAGAGCAACTGTTGTGCCTTGAATTTGAGGGCACTGATGCTTTGAGAAGAGGAGCTCTGGTGGCTTAGTGGTTAAAGCATTCAGCTCCTAACCAGAAGGTTGGTGGTTTGAACCCACCAGCAGCTCCATGGCAAAAAGATGAGGCAGCCTGCTTCAGTAAAGGTTTTCAGCCTTGGAAACCCTAGGGGTTAGCATCATATGCCAACATGATTTAAAAAAACAAACTAACAAAAAAAAAACACCAGTTGTGCTGGAGTCGATTCTTAACTCATGATGACCCTATGTCTGTCAGGGTAGAACTGTGCTCCATGAGGTTTTCAATGCCTGGTTTTTCAGAAGTAAATCACCAGTCCTTCCGAGGCACCTCTAGGTGGACCTTCTGGTTAGCATCCAAGAGTATGTGATCATTCACCTTTTCCTATAAATTAAGTGAGTTCTGGTGGCGTAGTACCTACGGCATTTGACTGCTAACCAGAAGGCTGGCAGTTCAAACCCACCTGCCACTCCTCAGAGGGAAGGTTGGGCAATCTACTTCCATAGTGATACCACCTCAGAAACCCAAGGAGCGGTCGCTATGAGTCAGGTTTGACTTGACAGCAGTGTATTTGGTTTCCTTTAAGTTTCTTTTGGAATTGCAGAACTAGGAGGGCCCTGGGGCTTCTGATCCAAACCTTTAAAGTTGCAGATGAGGAAACTGAAGCCCAGAAGGAGAGCTGATGTATCTGGAGTTCCACAGTCTCACATTTACTGATGGAGCTGCTACTGCTGCCTTCTTACCAACCCCAGGTCTCCCTTGTTTTTTGGCAAGACTAAAAAAAACAGAGTGCTCCTTTGCTAACTAATAGGACCCTGTGTCTTTAATTATTATTGCTTCTTTCTGTATTATTATCTGAAGAGGCTGAGGCTACAAACCTGCTGCACCCAAGTCCAAAGTACCCAATTTTGAGTTGTATAACTTTATCAGCTGTACCCTCTTTGCACACAGTCCTATTCCAAATTGCCAGCTATTTACACAACTAATAATTTGATGTGTGTAGTAATAACACAAAATGTGTAACTAGCAATCCCAGAGGTAAAGTTCATGGGCAAGGTAAAGGTGGTAAAACCTGTGAACTTTTTACTTGAGGATGCAGAAAGCCATGGAGGTGGCAATGAACACAAGGCTGAAGTGGGAGTTGGGAAGTTTCCATTTGTCACTTACCTCCCCTCACTGAGTCTTCTAAGTAATAAGGGACTTGGGCTGGAAGATCTTTGAAGTTGTATGACTATAGGGAGCCACTGGGCAGTGAGGTTACAAGGACCCTGCTAATGAATTGAGTCTGTGTCTTGGTAGGGAGAAGGTGGGGTCACCCTCAAAGTTGAATGGGACAATTTTGATCCCTTGTACTAGCTGTTTGTGTGTTGTCTGGGTTGATCTAAGAAGTTCCTTTGACTATCATTTCTTGGCCAAAGTTCTGGCGTCTGAGAAACCCCTCTATGACCTGGTTTCATCTAACCTTTCTTGCCTTGTTATGGTTTCCTCCTGCATAGATTCTGTGTCCCCTCTCCCCCAGGCCGTCTTACTGTCCTAGGGCATGCTTGCCTCACTTCACTATGGGACCTGCTGTGCTGATAGCTCCCTTCTCCTTGTACTGTGCACCCAGAGAGAGGCCCCACCCCTCACGACCACCTTCAACCCTTGTCTTCTTTGGAACCCACTTCTTTAGTTGCCTGCCAGTGGAGTTGTACAGAGTAAGGGGTTTGTGTGCTTTTCATA